AATATTTTGTGTTTATGTCTTTGCAATAGCAAATTTAGTAAGTTGAGTAAAACTATTATAGATATGATGAAAAATACTACAAAATGGGTTCACCAACTCTTTTTGAACACCAAAATTCAAACAAGGGAGGTATAAGCCACACTTAATGGTAGGGGTGCAGTACAACATATTCTATAAATATTCTATTCGGTTGAAAAACTGCTCAAGATATAAAGATATTTTTTTACGATATTTTACAATATATAGAAATATAGGAATCGAAATAAAATCTTTTATAGCCGATTTAACTAAGTTAAATCCGAAGATAATAATAATAAACATCTAATATTTTATTAAATTCAAATATAATTTTCTTTTTATAATTTAAAATATTTTTATAAACAATAAATAATATTTAATATAATATTAATTAAATTTATATAAAATTGAAAAGAAAAAAATTATATTTCAAACCTAAATATTAACAAACTTAATATATATAATTATAATAAATAACAAAATAAACTAATTTAATATATATATATATTTATATAAATATATATATATTTAATAATATATATGACTATATATAAAAAATATATTTTTTATAAATATTTATAAATTTTATAAAAAATGTAATACATAATATTAAATATATATATTTTCTTTAAACTGTTTATTTTCAATTATTTTATTTTTATCCCTAATATTTTAAAATAGAAAATTCAATTTTAATATATAAAAATTACTTATATTGGTAAAAATAATTTAAACTCTGGAGGTAATTCTTCTTCAGAATACAATCTATCTGAGAAATAGATTCTTCTAATCCTACAGTTTGCATGAATTTAAACTCTTAAAGTTTCTATATAATTTGTTGCATAGGCTCTTCTTGTAAAATCTGATAAATTAAATTGAATTTGATTCCAACCTTCATCTAACCTCATAGGCCTAATATATATGAAAATAAAATAATACATTTTATTTTTTTATAAAATAATTACATAGTACAAATAAATGGTTTAACCCTAGTAGTTGATTAATAATTAGAAGCTCTAAATCTTCTTCTTACATTTTTATCATCTAGTACTTATACTTCAAAAGTGAAATATTTTTTCAAATTCTTTATTATCATTACTAAAAATGGAAGCTTTATCCCTAATGTTTCTTTTGGGTCAGCTGGCGCAGTTATGAAATTTGTTGATACGTTAGTTCCCATTATTTCTAATACACTTGATAGAATATCTTAATCAGTTATTCTTTTTATATGACCATTTCTTACTATTTTTTATTTTTTTAAATTTTTAAATTGTTTATATTTTTTTTACTGCTTTTGTCCCAAATTTATAATGGTTTTGAACTTTTTATATATAATAAATATTTTTTAAATTAATTTTTTTACCCAATAGAATATAATATTGATAAGAAACCTGATTAGAATGTATTTTTGAACATTTTACAATTTTATTTTTTTATTTATTATATATTTTATTAAATTAAAAATTAATTTAAATAAAATTTTATATTAAATAATAATTTATATTTAATTTATTTTGCATGAAGTTTCATAATAATATATTTTTAATAAAAAATAAAAAATCATTTTGCTTTGTTAAAATCATTAAAAAAAAATAAAAAATAAAATTAAAAATAATTCAATAAGTCAAAATAAAATGAGGTAATCTAGATTTTTAAATTAATCTAATTAAACAATATCATCATAAAAACGAGAATAAACAATAAAACATTTAGATTTAAAATAAATAGAATACAGAAATGGTATATATTAAGGTTTAGTAAACAAAAACAATGAAAAAACAGGACTTGGAATCCATATATGGGATTCAGGTGAAGTATATTTTGGAGAATGGAAATTTGATAAAACAAATGGATAAGGGATTTATTTTTTAGCTCAAGGGGGTTTTGTCCATGGATTTTTTTATAAAAATAAACTTAATGGGCCTGCGTTTATAAAATTTTTAAACGGAGATACATATGAAGGCATATGGAATTAAGGATAAATGGAAGGAGAATGTTTCAAATATTATAGAAATTAAAATTTTTGGGTAAAATCTGAATATAAAAATGGATAATTAATAAAAGTTATTTCTTAAGGATAAGGAAGACCTGAATCATGTTTTTCTATTTAAATATTTTAAATATTTTTTTAATTATTTTAAAAAATATAGAAGTTTTTGAATATATTACATCTGCAAATGATATAGCATTGAAATATAATATAGAGATTAATTAAATATAATTTAAAGATGGAGGTTAATATTTAGGTAAAGTAAAAAATGGATTACCAAATGGATTAGGAATATTTAGATACACTGATGGAAAATATGACGTAGGATTTTATAAAAAAGGAAAATTGGATGGATTAGGAAGAGTAAATTTGTAAAATGGAGATATTTATGATGGATTTATTAAATAAGGAAACTTTGAAGGAATAGGATTGTATTATTAAGATAAAAGCTAATAGTGGATTTATGGGAAATTTAAAAATAATAAATGTACAAATGTTTTTAAAAAAGGAAAAGGAAATTATCCTTAAGAGATAATTGGTTTATAAAATTTATTATTATAAAAATTTATATATAATAATTGATAATATAATTTTATATTTAATATTTATATTTATATATTTATATATTAAAATAAATTTATATTTATATATTTATATTTTTATATATTTTTTTTTCTAAATAATTAGCAAAAATAAGATTTGAACATCATAAGAAATAATTACTTTTTTTTGATTATGAATGTTCACTAATAATGTTCTTTTTACCTTCATTTGATTCTAGTATAAATAATAATTTTTAAATTTAAAATAATTAAATTAATAATAAAATTTAATCGGATAAATAATAAAAATTTGGAAATAAATCTCTTTAATAATTAAATTATTCATTAACTAATAATGAAAAAAGTTCTATATCTTTTATAAATTAAGGTTACTCGAATTAGCTTAATTTATTTACTTAATAAAGTTATGAAGCGAATTCTTAAAATTATTAAAAAACGAAAAAGATATTCAAAAATTCATATTAAATTTAAGTCATTTCAAATTGGAATTAAAAGATTAAGAAGAAAAATAATAATATATATCTAATCTTAATTTTTCTTCTTAAAATATTCCTTATGAATCTAAATAAATAGAGTTTGAAGAAATTACAAATAAGAATTCAAAATGTATTAGTTAAGATTTTACAAATATATAATAAGAGCTTAAAAAGCATGAAGAAATATTATAAAAATAAGAAGAAAAAATTCTAAAAGTTAAATAATAAGATTAAGAAATAAACAAAAGTAAAACATAATTGAGTTTTTAACAAAGTCCAATCAAAAAAGTTGATAAATTTGAATAAAATTTAATCCTAAATGAATAAAAGATAAATAAAAATGAATAATAAAATGATGAAAAAGACTAAATTGTAATGGAAAATTCAGAACATGTATTATAATCGATAAAATAAATAAAAAGTTAAATGTTATTTTAATTAAATGAATTTGAAAATAATCATAATGAATTAAAAAATAAATAAGGTTAAATAATATAAAATAATAATAATAACTTATTTTAAAATGAAGTATTTCCTTCAAATTTATAAAACTAAACAAATTAATAATATAATAATAAAGATATAATGTTAGATGAACTTTTAAAACGTTCAAGTAGAGTTTAAAGTACTTAAAAAATGAATGAAGAGGAAGAAATACAAAGTTTTTTTTAAGAATAATATAATAAAAAGTTAAAAGATGAGGAAAATGAATTATTATAAAAAATATAAATTGAATAGTAAATTCTTAAATAAATTTAAGACTAAAATTTTTCTCTTTAAAAATTTGAGAAGGATAAATAAGAAGAAATTTAATTATCTTTATTAAAAATTTAATAATTAAAATAAATTATTTAAGAATAAGAGCAATACAAAGTTTAATAATAAAACTTAATTTAATAAGTTTAAGAATAAAAAGAATAATAAAAATAAGAACTGGCTAATTAATAATTATAATTAGAATAATAAAAATAAAATAATCTTCTTTAATATTCTTCATCTTATAAATATAATTCTACTTATAATTAAATTGGAAATTAATAATAAGAAAAAAATAAATTTTGTTAAAATTAAGAAGATTCTTTATAAAAATAAGTTTATTTTGATTAATAATATTAAGTATTTTCGGAAAAATTCGATTTCTTAGAAAAATCAAGTAATTATATTTCCTCTTCTTAAAGGTAATTATTTGAATAAAAAAATGATTTTTTAGAACAAAATTCATAATATTTACACTCTAAAGACTTTAAGGAGGAAAATAAGAACTTAAATAATTAAAATTTTGTTTAAGATAACAATTAAGAATTTATTTTATAATAATAATTGTAAGAAAATAAATTGTAAAACAATGAAGTTTAGGATAATTGTGAAGGTATTAATTAATAAAATTAAAAATATTCTAATAATTAAAATATAGGGGATAATATTAAATAATAATAATAAAGTAATTAGTATAAATATTTATTAGAAAATAATAATAGTAATAATCTAGGATAAAAATAAATTTAAGAATAAAGTATAAATAATCTTTTATAATAATTAATTCTAAATGAAAATTAAAAACTTTAAAATAATTATTTTAGCTTTAATAATTATTAAAATTATGAAAAAAATAACAAATTAAAAAAAGAAAATTTAGATTAATGTGATTCAAATTACTAAGTATATGATTAAATACCTAATTTAAATTAATAAAAGAATATTATTTTATAAAATTAGGATATTATTTAAATTAACAGTAATTATAATAATTCTATTTTAAGTAATAATTAAGAAAATTATAAAAATATTAACAATAGAAATTAAAAAAATTAATAAATTTAAGAATAAAAGTATAACTTTACTTAATAAAATGATTTTTAATAAAATACAAATAATGAAAATTTAAATATTTATAATTAATAAAATTTTTTACCACATAATAATCATTTTTAAGATATTTAATAAGATTAAGAATTAAATTTTGAAATTCCTTTAAGTGAAAATTTAATTAATGATATTTATAATTAAGAAAATATTGAAAGCACTAACAATTTAAATGCACATGAACTATTTATATACTAATAAAATCAGCAACCGATTAAAGAGTTAAATAATTAATTAAATATATAAAATTATATAGAAACAAAAAATAATGAGAGTTTTTAAAGTTTAAATAAAGTTGATTAAAAAGATTTTTCTGAAGAAAAGAAAGAGAATAAAAATTAATAAAATGGTTAAAAAGATTAGTAAACATATAATAATTTGGTTGATAATCTAAAACAAGATTAATAAATAAATTAGAATAATAATTAAAGCATATAATAAATTGAAGATTATATTAAAAATTAAGATTCGAATACATTAGATAAACAAACCTTTAATTAAATTTCTTACGAAAAAATTTTTAATCTTAATGATAATTGCTTGCTTAACGAAAACTTAATATATGTTGAAAATTAATAAAGTAATTGTGATTCTGGTTTTATTTAAAAATTATAAGAAAAAAATCATTTAGATGGAAACTTTAATATTATTTATGATGATTAAAATAATAATCATAACGAAAACATAATTTAAAATGATTAAAAATTATATTCAATTGAAAGAATTTAATTTACTTAAAATTTAATAAAATAATAAGAAAATCAATGTTTAAATAATAACATATAAAATTAATTAAGCCCAAAAAATATTGATTAAAATACTAGTATCTCTAGTTAAATCAATTTAAAAGAACCTATTGATAATAATAACAGTACTTTAGACAAATAATAATAATTTAAAAACCAAAATAAAAATAATAATGATTTTATATCAAATTTAAATCCAAAATTTTAATTTTCTTAAGACTTAATATAATAATAAGAACAAAAAAGTCTAAATAACAAAATTGAAATTTAATTCGGTTAATATAATAGTTAATAAAATATAAGTAACACCAATTAAATTAAATAAAAAGAATTTAATTTATATCAATTAAATAATAATATTTAAGATAAAATAATTGAAACAAATAATTAGATTATAGTTTAATAAAATTTATAAAATAATTAATTTACTAATTAAGATATTGAAATAGTTAAAAATTAATAAAATTATTTAGAATAAAAAAACTAATAATATTAAAATTAATATAATTTATAATTAAAAAAAATTCTAATTAAAATAATTTAATTAATGATGATTAATGCTATTATCAGGACATTAATTCAAATGAAAATTATTGTTAAAATTAATAGATTAATTAAGAATAGTTTGAAAACTCATTTCTTTAATAAAGCAAAAAGAAATAAGAGATTTTAGATTAAAATTAGAAAGAAGACAAAAATATTGAATATATATTAAAATAATATCTAGATATGAAATATAATAGTCATGAGGATTAATTAAATTCTTAATTTAATTTAAATAGCAATTAAATATTAACAAATGATTAATTTAATACAACAGTAAAATAATCAGACATCCTTTTAAATTAAAACTAAAACGAAAATAATGAAAATAAAAATATAAAAGATATTGATTAAGAAAAATTTTTAAATTTAAGTAATGAAAATAAAAACAATTTAAATAATTAGAATACTAATAGGTAAATTTTAACTGAGCCTACTTAATGTGAAAGTAATTAAAATAGCTAAATTAAATATGAAGATTTTTATAGAAAAATATTCTAAAACTAAACTAATAAAAAAAAATCAAATTCTATCAAAGCAACTAATATTAATAATTAAAATAATATTTAAAAAATATAAAATGATAAAAATATCTAAAAAAAATTAAATCGTTAAAAAGATGATAATGTAATTATATCTTTTAATTAAATATAATAAAATTAAGTATAAAAAGAGTTATTAAAGAATTAATAATAATAAAATATATTTTAATAAAAATAATTACAAAATTTGGAATACAATCAATTGAAAGATCAAATATAACAATAAAATCAATAATAATATGAGTAATTATTATATCAATTATAATTGTAAGAATAATAAAATGAATATTTGGATGAATAAGCAAAATAGAATGGATAATTGTAAAATCAATAATATTTCTAAGAATAATTTTAGGAATAAAATTATAAAAATTTCTAACATAAATTAATAAATTAAAAATATTAAAAGATTGAATAAATTAAAAAAATTAATTTTTTACTTCTAATTTATAAAAAACAAATATTAAAATTAATAATCAAATAAGAAATTAATAAGTATAAAATAATTAAAATTCAAATAATGAAGATATCTAATAATAAAAAAAAACTATGATAATATAAAATAAAATATGAATAATTAGTAACTAATTATAAATAATAATATAGAATATGATTCTAAAATGTAAAAAAAAAACCAAATCTAAGAAAAATACAAAATTCTATTACATAATAATATATAAACAAAAAGTAAGAAAACTTTAAATTAAATATAGAATATATAATAAAATAATGTATATAAACAATAATAATAATAATAATAATAATAAAAATAATAATAATATTAATAATAATAATATTTTACAAATTTAAATAATTATATTTATAAATCAAGCTAACCTTAATAATTACATTAAAGTAATTTAGATTGTAATAATAATTAAAATGCAGTTTAAAAATAATAATAATAATAAATATTATATTAAAGAGGAATTTTTCAATAGAATAAATTATAAAATTTTTAAATAAATAAAAATAGTTAAAACTTTTAATAGTAAAATTATTTTTATGATAATACTTATAATAAAATGTATTATAATAAACACAGTTTTGATATAGAAAATAATAATTTAAATAATTAAAATAAAATTTCTTCTAATAAATTAATTTAAAGCCTAAATTATAACAATACAAATTTCATTCAAAATGATTGTAAATTTGCAATAAAAGAAGTTTAGGAATAAGAAGAAGAATCTAATTTTAATAAAAGTTTATACAAATAGCCTTTAATAAATTTTCAAAATAATAAATAAAAGTAATAAATTACGTTTCCTTATAAAAATAATTAAACACTCACATAACATAAATACTTAAACGTATAATCAAATCAAAAAAATTAATAATAATAATAAATAGTTCATATTAATTAAATTAATTCTCCTAGGATATAAAGTTTCAGAATAATGCAAGGCCCTTAACCGATGAGTAAAATAGAATAAGTTTAAAAAATTTAAAGTTTAAGAAGTCTCTCAAATAGAAATTCGAATATATAATATTAGTAATTAGCGCCTTATATGTAAATAAATAAATATGAAACATACTTTAATAAATAAATCGTAAATATTAATAAATTAAATCAAAAACCACTTAGCTAGAGCTGTGTTTTATGCTTAAATACTAACAATAATTCTTTTGTTTAGAAAAATAGCCTTAATAATTCTTTTACCTTATTTAAAAATACTAATGCTAGACTTCTTTAATCACCTTTGAAAGGTGGTTTTTCTTTAGTTTAAAAAGTTTAAAGTTTTATAAATATCGAAGATTAAAATATTTCTACTGATAGAAATAATAGCATATAATTAATGCATAATGTTATTTTTTTATTTTTTTCATAAAAAATCTTAATTTTATTTTTTTTCTAGAAAAACGAAAAAGATTCATAAACAATTATTTAAAGCAATTTAATTAATACATGTAATTTTTTATTTAATTTTTAATTATTTATTTTTATATTTAGTTAATAATCCTTGCTAAATATAAATTTAATAGAACTTAAATATTCATTATAATATAAAGAATATTTTACCTGCCCCTGAAAACAAAGATATGGATGATTGCCAAATATATTGATAAAGTAATATATAAATTATTTTATTTTAAAATATATTTAGAAAATATTTAATAAATTTTTATTATTTATTTACAAATTATTTTATTGCCTTTATTATTTTTTGTTAATTATTTGACTTTAAATTTAATCAATAAATCAAATTTAATTATTTTTATTTTATTAAGTACAAATTTATTATTAATATAATATAAATATTATGATATAAAAATATTTTTTATTAAATAAATTTTGTATTATTAAATTAAATTATAATGTATTATAATTTTTTAATATAATAAGTAATTTTTTTTTTTAATTTATTAAAATAAAATATAAATTTAAAATATATTACATAATTAAAATTTAATAGAATTTAATTCATTAATTTTATCACATTCAATTTTAATAAGAAATATATTTTTTAAATTTAGAAATTTCTTTATTAAGTCTTTCTTATGTAACTTAACTAACATTATCATTTTTATAATATTTATTATAGAAATTATTTTTAAGATTATCAACTATAACTTTTTAAGGAGCTTATTCCATGATTTATTTAACTTTTTTTTAAACTTATTCTTAATTATTAAAGCTTAAACTTTTAATTTATTTAAGTAAAGCTTAATCATCGTCAGCAGCTTAAAAATTATTACAATTTTTAATATGTTCAAGTTCTACTCTAAAAAGATTCCATTAACATCTTATAAAATTAATTATATAAGTAATAAAATAAATAATAAAACCTTCTAAACATTTCCAAAAATCCTATTATGAAAACAAAAAGATCTTTATTACCAAAAATTTATACTTGGAAGTCTGGTGAAATATTTAAAACCCATGCGCATCTAAGAATGAAATTACTAACAAACACGTAATAATAAATACTAGGATTTCCAAAACATAAGTCATCTCTCAAAAATTTATTTTTCGATTTAGTTAAAAAGCCCCAATCTTTTTTTAAATCCCAATAATAACTATATAAAGTAGAAATTATAGAACTGAGTATCCAAAAATACATAAGTATATTTTTCAATTATCCACCATATAGTCCCATTACAAAACTAAGAATTGTCGTAGATAGTGAGCTTTAATATTTTATCAAATTATAAAAGTTATTTGTGTATAAATATTATTTATCATCATACATAGCTCTACAGCATTACATACTTCTCCATATTGGGGGAAAACTGGCTACAATAAAACCTGTTAATATATATTATCGTTAATCGTGAGTTCTTGACCAGGCTTCGTTATAATTTCCAAAATTACTGGTGTAAAAGAGCAAGGCTGTAACAAAGTCTTTTAAAGGTACTATAAAAGATACTAGTTAATCGGTTGCCCAGCCTATTCTGAATTCCATTTTTCGGAAAGGAGTTTGCATTATTAATTTTAGTAAATTATAAAAATAGTTCCTTCCTTAGGGATTAAATAATTTGTTTGAAGGGAAAAATATATATGTGAGAAACATTAACCATGCTATTAGGGGTATTAAGCCTATTTAGACATAATAAGAATAGTCAATTTCTACTTCTTCTGATTTTCTTACTAATAAATAAAGTATAAAAGATACTAAATAAATAAATGTAAAAAAAGATGTTCTTTCTAGTATTTCACTTAAAATTGAAGAATGGTGATTAAATTTAAATATCGTCTTATAGTTTACTTAACGGGATGTCCATAGATACACATTCCAGGCCAAAAGCCATTAATATCTTTTTTTATATATATTTTAAGGTTTTATTAATTTTTATTTTTTACAATATTATTAATCCTATTCCTCTGAATATAGGAAGTAATAAACTAAAAGAATTATATTTTTAATTATTTCCATATCTAAATAATTAATTGGTTATTGATATTTAAACAATTAAAAATATCAAAAGTATAACAAAACCTGTAAAAATACCAAAATAAAATTTATTTCTTTAATGAATATTCACAGAAGTAATTTTTTATAATTCTTCAACGCCTCTATTTCTATTATATATTGTATAGAAAAAAGTAAGATAAATATTTTCGAATTCATTAATTAATGAATAAAGTTTGTTTTCGCTCTTGCTAGATAACTCTCATTACAATGTCTTATAATTCTATAAAGAAAATATAAATAATAGAAGTAATAATTATAGTTATAATTAGAATAAAAATATGTTTTTATACTTTATTTTTAAATTATCTGAAGTATCAAATATTATATATTCTTAGTATAGGAATTTAATAATTACTTATTACTTATTTATTAGAAATTGTGTAACTTTCTAAAAGTTTTAACTATCCGTATTATCCATGAAATGCAGTTTTAAAATATTCTATTGATCTTCATAATTTTAGATAAGTTTTACTTTTTGAATTCATTTTCACATATTATTAATATAAATCTGACCAGTTATATAAGACATTCATTAGTTATATTAAAAAAAAAAATTAAATTTATCTATTTCATGTATCAAATAGTTTTCAAACATATTTCTAAATTTTTCTAATTGTGAGTCATTTGAATATATACCTACTAGTTAAATTGTTTCTTCACCTTTTTAAAAACGAGTTTTTATGCATAACTTTTGAACAATTTTAAAAGGTATTAGCATTCCTTTTAATAAAAAGTAACTTATATATGCTTTTTTCCATTCAGGTATTATTAATAATCTGTATTCTTTACTAAATTTCATATGTTTTTTGTTATTATATATTTACTTTTTATATTATTTAACTTTTTTTTTTTCAAAAAAAATTATTTATGTTTTAATTTTATTTGATATGTAAATTATTTATATTTATTATTAAAAAAATAAATATTTTTAATTTATTGTTTTTTTCAATAAATAAAATTGATTTATTTAAAAAAATAATATATAATTTAATTAATTAATCACTTCATGAATTATTATTTATATTTAAATTAAAGACTAATATATTTATTATAAAAATATATAATACATATTATATTATATTATATAAATATAACTGTTTTTATTTGTTATAAAATATTTCAACAACGAAAATTATAAAATGACAAATGTATTATTTTCTTTGTTTATAAAATGAAATATTATTCAAATTTTTATATTATTCAAGTTTTTATTACTTTTTTAAGATAAGTTTTTTTTTAGAATTTTGTTTTTTTCAATTTATTAATGAACTTATTCTGTTAATTCTTTTTCTTATTTATAAAAAATTGAATATTCTAAATTAAGCAATATTGTTTTTTAATTAATTTCTTCTCGTTTTTATTTCTAAAGCTATATTTAGTTTTCTATTTCATTGCATTCTTTTTTATATTCTTCTTCCATTTAAATAATTTAAATATCAAGGTTTCCTAAATCATTAACTATTCTATTTTTTTCTGTTACTTCAATAGAATATTCTTATTATAATTTTTATAATTCTTCTAATAAAGCCTTTTTTTTGTTTTCGAAAATATTATTTTTTTCATCTATATAAAATATTAATTTTTTTTTTTTAAAAAAAAATAATAAAAATACCCATTTTAGCTTTTTTTCTTAAGATTTAAACTTATTAATCTTAAATTTTATTTAGAATTTCTTTTCTTTTTTCAGCTTCAGTTTTAATAATAAATTAAAGTTTTTTTTTTTTTTATTCAAGTAAACTTTCTAAATCATTAATTTATTTTTCTTAAGCTTCTAGTCTTTTTCTTTCCGCAACAATCTACTTTTATTCATATTTAAGTTTATATATTTAAGTTTTTATTTTATTAGGCTCTTTTTCTTCTAATTCTATAATATTTCTTTATAAAATTTTCTTTACTTTATTCAAAAATGATAATGATAATCTGTTTCCATTAATTCCAAATTCAATTAAAGTTTTATTTTTAATCAAAATTTCTAAAAGAACTTTTTCAACTTTTTCAGAAATAAAATTATCTTAACATTTTATACATCTCATATTTTCAAAATAATCAATTCTATCCAAAAAATATAATATTCCTATATATATATGAATATTCATTTTTTATTAAAAAAAAGAAAGAAAAAAAAAACCTGCATCAGCAACTCTTGAACTACTAAAATCTATTTTTTAAAGTTTAATAACATTTTCATATTATTAACATATATCCCCAATAATAAACAAGCTTTCATCCCCTAAAAAATTTTTACTTAAATTTATATTTTTTAACCCACAAAAAGGTAAAATATCAGCAAAACATTTAATTCCAGCAGAACTAATTTCATTTAGACTAACATCCAATTCTTCTAAAATATAATTATCATTTAAAACTTCACAAATCATTAAAAAACCCTCATCTCCAATTCCATTTCCTTTCAAATTAATATATTATAAACTTTATGAATATAAAAGTCCTTGCCTAAATTCTTTAATACCCTCAAAACTTAATTCATTAAATTCCAAATTAAGTCTTTTCAGATTTTAATTGTTTTATAAGTAATTTCTAATCGAAATTCCTGCATTCGATTTAATGCAGTTTTTTCCCAAATCTAAAGATTCTAAAAAAAGAGCAGACTTTAAAATAAATTCAGCACCTTAACTTTTTAGGTAATTTTCTGATATTGTTAAATTTTTCAAATTTTTATTTTATTTTAAGGCTGTCCCTATAATATCACCTCCTTATACTCCAATATCATTATCGTATAGTTTAATTATTTCTATATTTTTATTTTATAATATTAATGCGGCTATACATTTCGCTCCGTCAATCCCAAATGAATTTTTTCTAATGCTTCCTTCAAGTATGCCTAAATCTAGACTTTTCAGATTCTAGTTTTTCGATAATTCATCTACTATTATTTCAAAACCAGATTCACTTATCATATTTGAAGCCAAGTTTAAATGCTTTATTTATGTATTTTCCATTATTTGTTTTATTAAATGCATGCCGTTATCTGATATTGGATTATCCGCTAAATTTAATGTGTCTATATATTTGTATTTATCTTCTTTTAATAAATTGCTTAATGTTTGCATACTCGTTACACCTAAACGCATTGAATATAAATTTAATATATTATTGTGTTTTCTATTATTTATCTTATTGAATTCGTCTTTGAATATTTTTGCTTTATCTAAAGATATATGCTTTATTTATTTATTTATTTATTTATTTTTATTTTTTTATTTTTTTATTTTTACTTCTCCTGTATCACTACACCTTGAATTATATAATTCGGCTTATAATTGATTTTCAAATGTCAAAAATACAGGGTTTTTTTAAAATATTAAAGGTATTTAACCGTCTTCATCTACAACTCGTTATAATTCTTGCTATTAAAAGTCTTTTGTTTTTTACTCTTCAATATAAACTTAATTTGTTTTTAAACTATAGTTTATAGCAGTTTTTGGTCGAGATAGTTTTTCTATTCTATCTTTATTAAGTTTTCTCATTTTTTATTAATTTTAATAAATATTTATTTTTTTGCAATTTTTATTATTTATTTTTTAAAAGTTATTAAATTTTTTTTTATTATTATTATCATTAATATTACTAGCAATTATATATATTATTTAGTTTATTATTTTACATTATAAATCTGTTTTAATATTGTGTATAAAATTATCAATGTTTTTATTATAATTTATAGCTATTTTTATAATAAATATTGTATTTGTAATAATCATATTTTATTTTAATATTCTTTTGTAAAAAGAAATAAATATTAATTTATTATAAATAAATTTAAATAATAAATACATTTAATATTTTTATTTGTAACAATTAATACATTTATTATTTTTATATTATAATTTAAAATAAATATTATTTAGTATTTATTAATTTTATCAATAGTGCAACTTATTAAATAGAAATGAAAATAAATTTATAGTTTAATACAATATTTATTTTTTATTAATATATATAATAATTTATTAATAAATTTTATATATAAAAAAAATAAAATATATTTATATATTTTTAAATAATATTTATAAACAAAAAATGAAAAAATTCATATAATTGTAATTAAAAAATAAGCAAAACTATATTCAAAAAATATTAGTATTTAAAAAAGGTTTAACTTATTTAATTTTGAAGCTGATTAGGAGTATTAAGAATAAGCTTCAACTATAGGAGATAATAATTATGAAAATTAACAAAAAAATATAAATAAAAATGTAATTCCTTTATTTATAACTTAAGTAGAAAGAGAGTATTTAATTTTATTTTAAATAATATTTTCTTTTTAAAACTTATAATAATTGTAAATTTTTTAGTGAAAAGCCTATTCCAATTTAAAATAATTAAAGTTTAAATTCATAAAAAATGGAAACTGAAAGCAATAAATAATATAAATTGATAAATTATTTATGTTATTGTTTTAAAAAGTTTCAAATTATTTTTTTAGAATTATTTCTTAAATTAAAAACTATATAAAAAAAAAGATAATAATAAAAATCAACAAAAAATAGTAAGTAAAAATAGGAACAATAGTAAGACTAAAATATTTCGAATACAGATAAAAGTATTAATTCAAAAGTTAATAATAAAAATTAGTAAATATTATAGTAACCATCTTAAAAATAGATAATTTAATCTGTTTGTCCGTAATAAATAAAACCTAAACCTATTTATTACTAAGTATTTTTTTTATTTTTCTCATATTAAAAAAATAAACTAATTATGATAATCTTAAATATATTCATAAAATTTTAATAAATTAAAAAGGACAAAAAAACATTAGTTTTAGACTTAGATGAGACTTTGGTTCATAGTTCATTTGTTTATATGTAAAATTCTGATTTTTAATTAGAAGTAAAATAAGATAATAAAAATTTTATTAATAAATATATTTGAATATAAATAAAAGATTTTTGTTTAAGACATTCGTTTTATTGTCTATGTAAAAAAAAGACCTGGGTGTGAGTTATTTTTAGAAGAGCTAAGCAAATATTATGAAATAATAATATTTACAGCTAGTTTATCTGAGGTATTATTAAAGTATTTTTAAATATATATTTATTAATTGTTCTAATATATATTTTCATATGATTTTTATATTTTTTGTATTTATTTTAATTCTCAATTAAAAAAAAATACGATTATCCGTTTTTTCTCCACTTTTTTTAGTTGTTAATTGAGTTTTTTTAAAATAAAATAATATATAAATATAATATTTTTTTCAAATTATTATTATAATTAAAATAAAAAAATAGTATGCTAACCCTGTAATAGATTTGATTGATAAAAAAAAAGTTACGAGTATAAGATTATTTCGCGAAAACTGTACATTATATAATGGTTTTTTCGTAAAAGATCTATCAAAATTAGAAAGATAATTAAAAGACATAATAATAATAGATGTTTTAAATTTTTATATATATCCAAATAAAAAATACTAATATATAAATATATTAAAAAAAAGAATTCAGAAAATTCTTTTTTATTTTAACCAGAAAATGCCATTCATATTTTATCTTTTTTCGAAGATATGAACGACGATCAACTTTATCGTTTAATTCCAGTTTTGATATTTTTATCAAATGTAAATAAATAAAAAAAAAAATTAATAAAAAAATAATAAGAATTATGATGTACGTCATGTCGGTCGCTTATGTTAAGTATTTGAATAATAAAATGTAATATAATATTTAAATATGAAAAAGGAGCTTTATAAGTTTTATAAAGTCTAGTTTTTGTAATAAATAGGAGATTTAAAATAATTAGAATAAGAACTGTAATAAAATATTTAAGAAGATGAGGATGACGAAGAAAATTAAGAATAATAATAAGAAATATTTGTATAAAAAAATGATTAATTTAATATTTCAGAAAGTAAAAAATTATAATAAAATATAGAAGCTTCGTTATAAAATTATGATAAAAATGATGAGTGTGTATAATTATCTAAATAGTAAAAAGAATAAGTAAATTAAAATAGTAGTAATAATAGATAATAAAAAAAGAATATAAAAAAATATAAAAATAATGCGCCTAAATAAATATTATAAATTGCAGAAGAAGAAGAAGAAGAAATCGAATAATAATAATCTACAAAAACAAATAATATATAATTGACACAATAATAATCTTCAGTAAGAAATAAATTGCTTGAAGAATACTAATAATAATCTCAAAAAGCAAAAGAATATGAAGATTATGTAAAATATAGAGGAGAATTAAATTCCCCTGATAATGATTTTAAGACTCAACCGGAAATTATTGAAGAAAATAGTGAAGCACATAAAGAAATAAAATAGACTTTTGAAAATATTAGGTATTATATAAATGGAAAAAATATGAATTCTCCGATTGTAAAGGAATAGTTTCTTTAGCTTTTAGATAATAATAAAAAAAATAGTACTAAAAATAAATAAAATCTTGTTAATTAATATTTTTTTTTAACTGTTAATAAGAAAAATTGAATATAATAAAAATTTAATTTATTTTATAATAATATCTATTTTATAAATAAATGTTAAGATTATTAAAATAAAAATTAAAAAAAATTAAATTATTAATATTAAACAATATAAAAAAAAAAAAAATCAATTATAATCAGGAGGAAAATAAAAATTATAGAAATTATAAATATTTATTATTTATAAACTATATATTATTTTTAAAAGAAATGTAAGTTAAAAAAAAAATAGAATAAATATTTATGTTCATTTTATATTATTTATAATAACTTTATTTATATATTTTTTTTTTATTTTTTAATTAGTTTATGAAGAAATATCTTAAATCTATCATGGATTTTGTTTAGATATATAATATATAATATATAATATATAATATATAATATATAATATATAATATATAATAAATATTTATATATTTATATATATATAATTTTTAATATATATTTCTTTTATTTTTTATTTATATATATTATTATTTATAATATTTAATATTTATAAATTAATTTATATCTATTTTATTTTTTATTATTATTTTTAATTTAATTTATTTTTTCTGTATTTATAAATTTTATTATATTTTTTTTATAAAATAAATTTTTTATAATTAGCCTTTACTTTTTTTATATATATTGATATTGAGTTTTTTATTAATATAATTTTTATTAACATATTATTTAATTTACAACAAATATTTAAATATTTATATGATTCTTCATATAATTTTTTTTATTTTAATATTTTTATTAAACTTTTTAATAAAGATGAAACAAAATTTATTATTTTCTTATGAATAAATATATAAAAAATGTCTTATCTCATTTTAATAAATAAAATCTTTAAACAATTGTTTAACATAAAAAAAACAATAAAAAGATTTAAAATTTGAATAACATTAAAAACTAATAAATGATTAAAAATAATAAATTTAAAAAGAAAGTAAATAACTTCTTGAGGATTTATAATTATTATAATAAAAAATAAAATCTTAGCCTTAAAAAGTATAATTTAAATTATTATAAGACTAAACAAATTAAGAAATAGATCGTTTTGGTATAATAATGAAATAAATAATAAGTAAAAGTTACGATTTAAAATTAGAAAATGCACAACACCGTTCGTTTTCATTTGATAATAATGAAAATAATAATAGTTTTTAATAATATTAAGATAGTCTGAAAGAATAATTAGAAATAGAGAAGCAATTACAAGAAGAAAAGTAGGCAGAATTAGATTTAATTTAAAATGATATTTTATTAATGTATAATATGATGACTGACATGGGATTAATGGTAATAAAATAAGGAGAAGATTTAGATATTATATCTGAAAATGCTGAAAAAGTTCAAAATTAAATAAATTGTACCAATATCGAACTAAATAAAGCTTAAGAATAATAAAAATCTGCACGAAAAAATATTTTATTTTCAGTTTAATTATTATAATTATTATTGCTGTTATTCTTACTATTATTTTTACTTAAAAAAAAAATTGAGAATAAATTAAATGTATATGTATATGTATATATAAATATTTTTTTCTGTTTTTATATTAAAAAATTGTAAATAATCCTTAATTAATTAATTTTAGTATAACTTTTCTATTATTTAGTATATTTAAATTAGAATTCTTAATTTTAAAAAGCTCCATTTATTCCATAATAAGTTAAGTATTATTTATTTGGACTTAAGCAGATTTTATAAAACAATTTATATGATAATCTGAGAGGTTTTTGGAATTAAACTTTCATTATTTTATATATATATTTGTATAATTGTTCAATGTTTATATATAGCTTTTATTAAAAAATTACTTAATCATTTTCAATTTCTCCTTTAATCCTTTAATAATTTTTTGTTCAAAAAAGGTGTTTAATTTTAAAGCATTTAATAATTTACTTAACATGTACATATTGAGATTCTATAAAACAATAACAGAATAAAAATACTTTTTTATTATTTTAAGAATTCAAATATAATAAATTTAAAGGTATTAATCTAAGTGTTTATTAAAAATAATTATTATGATTTATATTTCTATTTAAGAATTTAAGATATAAAAAATGTTAAATTTAATAAAATTTAAACAAATTTAATAAAAGTTTTGAATTAAAAAAATTAAATAAATAAAAATAAAAATATTAATAAAAATAAAAATATAAATATAAATAAAAATAAAGATAAAAATAAAGATAAAAATAAAGATAAAAATAAAGATAAAAATAAAGATAAAAATAAAGATAAAGATAAAGATAAAGATAAAAATAAAAATAAAAATAAATATTAAAATAAAAATCAAAATAAAAATCAAAATCAAAATCAAAATAAAATAAAATCAAAATAAAAATCAAAATCAAAATAAAATCAAAATAAAAATAAAAATCAAAATAAAAATCAAAATAAAAATCCAAATAAAAATTAAAATAAAAATCAAAATAAAAATCAAAATAAAAATAAAATAAAAATAAAAATAAAAATAAAAATAAAATATAAAAATATAAATATTAATCTATATGGACACTAATTTTTTATATTATGATCACAAATTTATATATTGTTTTGTTGATATTAATATTATTTATATTATATTATAGAAAATTAAAATTAAAATTCGAAATCGAGAATCGAAATGAAAATCCTAAATTTAATATGTAAACATAACTAAACTAAATTATTTTATTAATTTAAATAGTAGTTATCTTTTTTATTATACAAGATAATATACTAATTTTTTTTATAGAAAAATATAATATGTTTTATAAAATATAAAAAGAAAAAAATATATAAAATAAGATTTATAATTATTTTATATAATTCTAAATAAATACTATAAATAAAATATTTTTATAAATAATTTTATTTTATTTTTAGATTTAAATACTATTTTTAATTTAAATACTTTATTTTAATGCATAAATAAATAGAGTATTTAAATATTTTAAATTTAGACAAATTTAATGATATAATTAACTAATTAAAATAAAAAAACAAAATTTATATAATAAATCTATTGTTGAACATTAATAAAAAATAAAAAAATTTAAACCCAAAATTTTAGAAAAAAATTAATTAATATCAAAATATTAACTTTTAAATCTAAAATTTTGAATTTAATAATTAAAAAATTTCTAAAAAAATAAAACAATTAAAAACCAATTAGTAGAATAAGAAAGAGTAAAATTTTAAGAATATTAAACTTTTATAGAATAAATGAAAAAAATTAATAATTAATTATATGTGTAAATATTGTTTTATTATTAGAGAATTAGAGTTTAGAAAAATAAATTGGGCTTTTTATTAGAAAGAAATACTAAATAAATAAAGAAAATAAAATATTAAAAAACAAAATCAAAAGAATATATGGTAAAATATTTAATTTTCAACAAGAAAAAGCTAAAAAAGAAATCACGAATAATAAATACGAAAAAATAAATAATAAAATATTGCAATAATCATAAAATTTTATTTAACAAATTAATAAGAATAAATGAATAAATGTAAAAAGACGTAGATGATTTAAATTTATAGAATGAAGATTTCAATTAAAAAAACAACCAATTGAATTAAAAGGATGAATATTTCAATATAAAAAATAAAAATTCAATTTAAAAAAATACGAGTTATTGATATGTAAATTGAAAAATTAAAAAATTAAGAATTTTTATTAAAAAAATATGAAAATTAAAAATATGTTATAAAATTAAAAAATAGAAGAATTAATAAACACAAATTAAAAAAGTAAAAATAAATTACAAAATAAAAAAAAGGAATAATAAATGAATAAAAAATTAATAAAACTGAATGAAAAATCAATATATATAATATTTGAATAATAAAATATTTTACAAGTAATTTTATGAAAATTGAAAAGAAAATTTTAGATTTAAAAGAAAAGAAATAAACTTAAATAAATAAAAAGTTTAATATAAAAAATATATTTATGTTAAAAAAATTAAGAAAAGAAAAGAATTCTTAATATTTTTATTAATAAAACAAATTGAAAATAATTTCGAAAAACTTCAAAATTTCTAAAAATTAACTTTATAAAAAATTATCGAATTAACTGAAAATTTATATTTATTATATTTTTTAAATTAATTAAAATATCGATTTTTTATAATTTT